TAAGAAGGGAGGGAAGGTAAGAAGGTAAGGAGGGAGGGAAGGTAAGGAGGGAGGGAAGGTGAGAAGGGAGGGAAGGTAAGGAGGGAGGGAAGGTAAGAAGGGAGGGAAGATAAGGAGGGAGGGAAGGTAAGGAGGGAGGGAGGGTAAGGAGGGAGGGAAGGTAAGGAGGGAGGGAAGGTAAGGAGGGAGGGACGGTAAGAAGGTAAGGAGGGAGGGAAGGTAAGGAGGGAGGGAAGGTAAGGAAGTAAGGAGGGAGGGAAGGTAAGGAGGGAGGGAAGGTAAGAAGGGAGGGAAGGTAAGAAGGGAGGGAAGGTAAGTAGAGGGAGGGAAGGTAAGGAGGGAGGGAAGGTAAGGAGGGAGGTAAGGTAAGGAGGGAGGGAAGGTAAGGAGGGAGGGAAGGTAAGGAGGGAGGGAAGGTAAGGAGGGAGGGAAGGTAAGGAGGGAGGGAAGGTAAGGAGGGAGGGAAGGTAAGGAGGGAGGGAAGGTAAGGAGGGAGGGAAGGTAAGGAGGGAGGGAAGGTAAGGAGGGAGGGAAGGTAAGGAGGGAGGGAAGGTAAGAAGGGAGGGAAGGTAAGGAGGGAGGGAAGGTAAGGAGGGAGGGAAGGTAAGAAGGGAGGGAAGGTAAGGAGGGAGGGAAGGTAAGGAGGGAGGGAAGGTAAGGAGGGAGGGAAGGTAAGGAGGGAGGGAAGGTAAGAAGGGAGGGAAGGTAAGGAGGGAGGGAAGGTAAGGAGGGAGGGAAGGTAAGAAGGTAAGGAGGGAGGGAAGGTAATGAGGGAGGGAAGGTAAGAAGGTAAGGAGGGAGGGAAGGTAAGAAGGGAGGGAAGGTAAGGAGGGAGGGAAGGTAAGAAGGGAGGGAAGGTAAGGAGGGAGGGAAGGTAAGGAGGGAGGGAAGGGAAGGAGGGAGGGAAGGTAAGGAGGGAGGGAAGGTAAGGAGGGAGGGAAGGTAAGAAGGGAGGGAAGGTAAGGAGGGAGGGAAGGTAAGAAGGGAGGGAAGGTAAGGAGGGAGGGAAGGTAAGGAGGGAGGGAAGGGAAGGAGGGAGGGAAGGGAAGGAGGGAGGGAAGGTAAGGAGGGAGGGAAGGTAAGGAGGGAGGGAAGGTAAGAAGGGAGGGAAGGTAAGGAGGGAGGGAAGGGAAGGAGGGAGGGAAGGTAAGAGGGGGAGGGAAGGGAAGGAGGCAGGGAGGGAGGGAAGGTAAGGAGGGAGGGAAGGTAAGGAGGGAGGGAAGGTAAGGAGGGAGGGAAGGGAAGGAGGGAGGGAAGGTAAGGAGGGAGGGAAGGTAAGGAGGGAGGGAAGGTAAGAAGGGAGGGAAGGTAAGGAGGGAGGGAAGGTAAGGAGGGAGGGAAGGGAAGGAGGGAGGGAAGGGAAAGAGGGAGGGAAGGTAAGGAGGGAGGGAAGGTAAGGAGGGAAGGTAAGAAGGTAAGGAGGGAGGGAAGGTAAGGAGGGAAGGTAAGAAGGTAAGGAGGGAGGGGAGGTAAAGAGGGAGGGAAGGTAAGGAGGGAGGGAAGGTAAGGAGGGAGGGAAGGTAAGGAGGGAGGGAAGGTAAGGAGGGAGGGAAGGTAAGGAGGGAGGGAAGGTAAGGAGGAAAGGTAAGAAGGGAGGGAAGGTAAGGAGGGAGGGAAGGTAAGGAGGGAGGGAAGGTAAGGAGGGAGGGAAGGTAAGGAGGGAGGGAAGGTAAGAAGGGAGGGAAGGTAAGGAGGGAGGGAAGGTAAGGAGGGAGGGAAGGTAAGGAGGGGAGGGAAGGTAAGGAGGGAGGGAAGGTAAGGAGGCAGGGGAGGTAAGGAGGGAGGGAAGGTAAGGAGGGAGGGAGGGTAAGGAGGGAGGGAAGGTAAGGAGGGAGGGAAGGTAAGGAGGGGAGGGAAGGTATGGAGGGAGGGAAGGTAAGGAGGGAGGGAAGGTAAGGAGGGAGGGAAGGTAAGGAGGGAGGGAAGGTAAGAAGGTAAGAAGGGAGGGAAGGTAAGGAGGGAGGGAAGGTAAGGAGGGAGGGAAGGTAAGAAGGGAAGGAAGGTAGGTTGTTCGAGAGATTTTCTGTCTGTCTGTCTGTTTGTCTGTCTATTTATGTGTATGTTTGTTGATTTATTTATTTATTGATTTGTTTATCTGTCTATCTGTTCATCTGTCTGTCTATTTATATGTAGTTTTTTTATTGATTTATTTATGTGTTTGTTTATCTATCTTTTTATTTATCTGTCTGTTTGTTTGTCTGTTTTATCGATTAAGATCTTCATCTATCTATCTATTTATCTATATGTTTATTTATTTATTATCTATTTTTTGTCTATTTATTTTTCTATCTATCTATCAATCTGTTTCTATTTATCTGTTTCTCTCTCTCTCTCTCTCTCTCTCTCTCTCTCTCTCTCTCTCTCTCTCTCTCTCTCTCTCTCTCTCTTTCACACGCCCCTACCCCATACATGTCCCCCTTCTCCCCCCCCCCAAACACACACGCCCACCCTCTTCCCCACACTTTCCCCTTCTCCCCTCCCCACGCTATCCCCCCTCTCCCCTAAACCCCCACCTCCCCCCTCCCCACACTTTCCCCTGCTCCCTCCCCTCCCCCCCACACTCGCCCCCCCCCCTACACACACACACACACACACAGGTCCTTACATAGGGTCGACTCTCCCCTTCAGCGACGACCCTTTCGGGAAAATGAGCCTTAAGGTCGTTGTTTTCATGAAACTTTCAGACATGATGTAGTTCTTGCATTGTCCGGTCTGGGAGGGGAGGGGGGAGAAGGGAGATAATGGATTAGTGTGATTTATTTTTGATCACTCTGTTTGAATGATGTATATGTGTGTGTGTGTGTGTGTGAGAGAGAGAGAGAGAGAGAGAGAGAGAGAGAGAGAGAGAGAGAGAGAGAGAGAGAGAGAGTGTGTGTGTGTGTGTGTGTGTGTGTGTGTGTGTGTGTGTGTGTGTGTGTGTGTGCGTGTGTGTGTGTGTGTGTGTGTATACGTGTATATGTGTGTGTGTGTGTGTGCGTGTGTGTGTGTGTGTGTGTGTGAGAGTATGTGTGTTTGTGTGTTTGTATATATGTGTGCATATGTGTGTGTATAATAAAAGAACAACAATCACTATCATTCCGATAACGAACATTTCAAAATAAAACTAAATAAAATCACACTCAAAGAAAGGAGACTTAAGAACGAATCTCAAGAAAAAGACTTAAAAATGAGACTTAAAAAGGAAACTTAAAGCATGAGACTTACGAAAGGACACTTAAGAAGCAATATTTAAATGGGAGACTTTAGCAAGAGACTCAAGAAAGGACACACGAGAAGAATACGTAAGAACACTTTAAGAACCAGACTTCAGCAACACAACCCTCCTCCCCCCCCCTTGAACTTACGGTGGAGAAAGTCTGGTGGAGGATCTGCAGGAGGGCCGAGCGAGGGACGAGGAGGACGTGGTGACCCCCGACCAGCCTCTCGATCGACAGGACGGGGTCTTTGTGGTACACCTGCGGCAGGAGGCGACCCAGAGACGTGTCCGGAGGGGCGCTCTGGAACGAAGGATATTATATTCTTGCCTTTTGTTGTTGCTGTAAATGATTCATTTTTATCTTTCTTTTCGGTTTTCGTTTGTTTGTTTGTTTTTTGCCGTGGATATTCGTCCGGCACCGGATCTTATCACATTTTGGCTATTCTTCCGGCACGCATGCGTATTAACTATTTGCGCGAGTTTCGTTGTTGTATCTCGTCTCTGTTGGGATATTTTTCCGGCATTTTCTGTCTGACACCTATCCTGTAGAGCTGTTTTCCCAGCAATATTGCAGGATGCAATTTTTGTTTGCCATTTTATTGAAATTCTTCAGCTTCTCATTATTCGGCAAATTTATTTGTTTTCAGAGGTCCCCGTGTGGAAAATAATAGCAGAGGTTGTTAGAGGGTGATAGCAGAGTTGGGTTCCTAGGTTAGGTGGTTAGGTTAGATTAGGGGGTTAGGTTAGGTTAGGTTGTTAGGTTAGGTTAGATTAGGGGGTTAGGTTAGATTAGGGGGTTAGGTTAGGTTAGGTGGTTAGGTTAGATTAGGGGGTTAGGTTAGGTTAGGTTAGATTAGGGGGTTAGGTTAGGTTAGGTGGTTAGGTTAGGTTAGGTTGTTAGGTTGTCAGGTCTTATTTCTACTGGACAATCTTGTTTGAATGATAAATATCAACATAACAGATCAGCATACTGTAGTTACAAGACTGTTAAGTTTAGTCTTTGTGTAAGTATCCTACACAAAAATCCAGATCCACAACCATGAAAAATGGCGCCAACGTTTGTTTTGATGATTGCGCGAGTGTGTATTATTAGTTAATGCGCATGCGTGCCGGACGAATAGCCAAAAAGTGATCAGATCCGGTGCCGGACGAATATCCACGGCGTTTTTTTTTCTCTCTCTCTCTCGCTTTTTTTCTTTTCTCTTTATCTCGCTTTCTTAGTTTTTAAATCTGTCTATCTTTTTTTTTACTTTCTTAAATCTCGGCTTCTTTTTTCTTTTGTTCCTTTTTTTAGTTTTCCTCGTTTATCTCGTTTTTTTTTTTCTCTCTGTTTCCTTGTTCGTTTTTTTTTGTTTTGTTTTGTTTTGTTTCTTTATGATTTACTGCCTGTCGATTTCTTAAGTAATTAATTTACATATTTATCTGCTTATTCAATTATTCATTCATATAGTTTGTCAGTTATTCATTCATTTAATTACTTATTCACCTATCTAACTACCTATTCGTTCGTCCTTCTATCTATTTATCTAATCATTCGTCTGTCCATCTATTTATCCATCTATTCGTCTATCATCATATTTACCAATTTGTTCATCAATCTATCTATCTATCTATTTATTTGTCGACCTATCCATCCATTTAACACAAGCTTAAACAGTGTTAACATTGAGCTTTAAAGATATAGATAGATAGATATAGATAGATAGATAGATAGATAGATAGATGATATACTTAGATATACATGCACATAGATAGATATAGTATAGATAGATAGATAGATATAGATAGATAGATAGACAGATTA